CCCTGTCTGTGCTCTTTGTGTGCTATAGATAGCTACCCTGTCTGTGCACTCTTTCTGTGCTGTAAGCTAGTTACCCTGTCTGTGCACTCTCTTTGTGCTGTAGTTAGTTACCCTATCTGTGCACCTCATGTGTGTGCTGTAAGCTAGTTATATACCCTGTCTGTGCACTCTCTGTGTGCTGTAAGCTAGTTACCCTGTCTGTGCACTCTTTGTGTGCTGAGTTACCCTGTCTGTGCACTCTTTGAGTGCTTCAAATAGTTACCACAGTGCACCTGACACTAATTAGTGCATGGCGACTATTACCCACGTGGTTGAAAGGAAAAGGTGCCAGTGGCATCGACCCGACTGCAGTTTTGACTCGATGCCCAAGTTGGCAATGATGATTTGTTTCTTTTTATTTGGCCACTTGGCCTTTCAAAACTTTCAAAATTTAAAATGTGAACCACAAACAACTCTAAACCACTTCCTCCCATCACCCATACAACCGAGCCGCAGGATCGTCACAGTGGCAGTGGCTGCCAAGCCGCGGCTGCTGCTGGGGGGTGGTGGGTGGATGACGGGGGACTTGGATGGACATGTGGTTGGGTGGAAGTAAGGCCCCCCAAATCAAATGCAATTATACCTTAATCAAATGCCAAACCTTTCGTTTCGACTCTCCTCCTCCATGTTCTGGCATTTCATGGTGTAGTCATGCACTTTCTCCAGCCGATCCTCACGACTTCGCGTCGTCCCGGTCCTTCGACCGCGGGCGGGCCAAACAGGCCACAGGCGGATTCGGACGTCGAAAACCGCTGGGCCTCTGAGAATCAAACGAAACAAAACAAAACAAAACCCTCTACACCTCCAGTCGTACCGAACCGAAGCGGTGGAGGCCGAATGGGAAAAAGGACAGAAACACGACCCGTTGAGCCCGGAATCCTTTGGAGATGGGTCCCGAATCCTCGGGTCAGGGGTTTTGGTTCCGGTCGATCCAATCAGGAGGGACCGGGTTTGAGGGCGCGAAACACACGGAGCGTCTGGGGAAATGAACTGAGTCGGCACCAACTCAGTCTTATGGCAGTGTGTCATGGCACCTGGGCCTTTTGGGCTAGACCCCGGATCTGTTCTGAACAGATTCCTCGATGTTTCGGGATGTCAAACCATGGGGCCTTGGTGGGGGAGGTGCCAGCTGGCTCCAGCCAGCTCCTCCCCGCTCCTCACAGCCAGCTCTGGTTTTGCCCTGCAAGAACCCTGCTTTGCTCACGCGCCTGCCTCTTTGGCGCCTGCGCTAAAGACCGCTCCCTAGGCAAATGTATCCAACAGGAGTCCAAGAAGCCACCGTGTACCTCGAACCTGTGTCGACCATGGTGGAAGTCATGGAGATGTTTGACCTCCGCATCTCCATGGAAGACCCCAACTCGCGGAGGTGTGAGGCGTCTGAGCCTCAGCGCTTGCGGAAGGTGGGGTGATGATGCTTCAAACGACTACGATCATCATCCCACGATCCCAAGTCTCAAGTGGCGCGCTTCACAATAGCCGCTATGGACTGGACCAACCCCCTGACGGATACACGGGCCGCCCAAGCCCGCGGAGACGTCTCGACGGATTGGCACCTTGGCGTCATAGAGTGTGTCCCATTGCTTGATGAGGTTTTCGGGCAAGTTGCCTCCAGCTGTGGGAACGGGTGGGGTGGGTTACGAGCTGAGGCAAGTCGGACGTGATGTGTGGAAGGGAGGGGCGCAGACTGGGCATTCGTGCTCGGCCATAACCATTCCCTACAATGAGCTCATTTTACTGGAGTTGGTCATACAAAAACCGTACTTAAGGTAAAAGGCAGGCAGGTTTTACTGGGTCAGAGTGGACTTGTAGGGATTGACTGTTCCAAACGAGGCTTCTTGATTCTGCATTCTTTACCGTATTGAAACTTTCAGGTGCCGGAGGCCACACCAATCAAGTCTTGGGCCAAACCTTCCCAGGAGGCCATCCTTCTCAGGTCCGAACCGCTGCCACCGACCCCCGTGGCCACCCCCAATGTCCACACCATGTCTCTTCCGTGTGCCGCTTCTTCTGCACGTGCTTCCGTGTGCCGCTTCCTCACGCAAAGCCGTGGGTGCCGGGTGCCCCAGCTGTGGCCCGAGCGCTTCAGGGCATCGAAACTGCTCTTGAAGACCTCGCCGGCGGGCGAAAACAACACAGCGGCTCAGCGTGGTCTTGGGCGCGCACAGCTCCTCGGGTCGTGGTACAATATGGTGGTATAAGGACCCTGTATTCATAGAGTCATGAGATGTCATGAGTCATGCGCGATGTTCTAGGTTACTTGCGAAAACTACAACAATGTTTCAAAGATTAGACTATACCGACTAATACCTGAAGCCCAGCATGTGCCGGACCCGCATCCAGAAAGAAACACCTGCTAGCTGGGGGATTTCTGAGGATGTAGATCACTGATACATTGACTCAATAAGCCTCCGACCCAAGGTCCATGCCGAATCCTTAACCTACACTGCCTCGAAGCAATGCTTCACCATCAAAGGCATTTGAATGATTTCAAGAACCCCCCAGTTCTCGACCGAGAACCAGGATGGAGAGTGGACCCTTGGACACCCTTGGAATCCCTTGGACACCCTTCTAGGCCATACAAACAGGGTCTATTGGGAACCCCAGCCAAACAGGGTCTATTGGGAACCCCAGCCAAACAGGGAACCCCAGTTGCCCGTCACAAAATCTCTGGGTACAAAACCATTCTGCCAGTTCCATGATTTGCCGTGGTTTGTCGATGTTTGTAGTCGACCCGAAATGAGAGTGGAGAAGGGCGAAAGACTCGCCACCCAGCCACCCAACCTGGACAAGTCTGGAAACCAAATGGAAGATTCAAACCGGTCTTGCGTCTCGGCGGCTTCTCCGGCGCCTCCATGTCATCCAAGAACTTCTGCAAGTTCTTGGCTTCTTGTGCCACAGCGACCTATGGCATAATTTCGAAGACAGCCATTGGACCACCGGATTGGTTGAAAAAGCAGCTGGTCCTGAAGGGGATTGACAAAATTGATTGAATGGTGTCTTGCTTTCATCCTTCGCGGTGGTCTTCTCTCGAGCCAGCCCACCCCGCGTGTCCGCTCGCGCCCGCTCTTCAAGGACACGCTTCATACGAGACCAGACAGATGTCAGACGGTCTGACAGATTCATGTCGCCACCCCGTCAACGGGTGTCAAACCGACGACTGGGTTGGATCACTCTGACTGGACAACATCCATTGGACATCCCTGGGTCTGGAACGATAGAAACCCTGGGGTTGGAGCCCGACAGGGTAAAGGATGGTTTACAGGCACCGGAAGTCCAGATTTTGCCATGGAAACCCAGGTTTCGACACCCAGGTTCCAGGTTTGTGTGAATAACTGTCCAAAATGACTGTGAAGTCAAATCCCTGCAGATTCAGGCAGATTCCATTAGTTGATCGGTGATCAATCGCTCCAACGGTGAAGTTTCATGGCGTGCCACCAGGGGACTCCACACCCCCTTGAGACAGTGTCAGCACTGTTCATCCCTGCGCCCAAAGCCGGTATACCTTGGGTATAGCCTCTTCTCGGTGACAGAAGGATGGTTCAGTTGCAGGCCGACATCTGAAAACATAGTGAGAACTGACCGGCTGTTTCATGTTAATAGGACACCCCCCCAAATATGGCCAGGTATGCGTATCTCACGTTCGTCGACATGTTGAGCAAGTAGCCTGGTGACCAGTTCGGGGAAACGAGTCATACGTCACCTTTCTGGGTCGAATAGCATTGACCAGTTCGGGGACGTCGTTTTCAAACCTCCTGGCAAACCAGCAGCTTACTACTCTAATCCGCCTCACTTCAAAAAGGGACGCAGGTGACCAAGCTCCCTGGCTGAAGGCTGAAGGCTATGAGGATATTGCTTTCCATGTCCATTTCTACAGAAAGAAGTGCAGAGTGAGACCCAACGAGCCTCCAAAGTAAACTATATTACCATAGAAAATTGGACATGGTCCACAAACAAAAAAAGTAAAAACATTAAAGAACTGGTACTTACACCCATTTTCTGAAGTACTTTGAGAGTCCAGGTGCTTCTCACATTCATCCGTATCTGACTTCGACATATATTCACCCTAGCTCACCCTAGCCTTTGTGCTAACAAGTCCCCTCTTCCAGCCCCCCTTGCCATGCGTTTCAGTTTGAAGGGATCATCAAATCCCCGAGGCACCTGGAAACTCGTGAAGAGCGCATCCAGTTTCATGGCCTGTCAGAAACAGGACACAAACGCACGCAGGATGCCTGGGAATGTGCCAAATGGTCGTTTACTTGTTCTCGGAATCGACGTGGTGAACAGTGAACACGACCTGTTTGGTAGCTGGATTTCATGGTCATCTGAGTCTTCAGCGCGATACCATCCACGTCACTTCGATGATTCCAGGGAGTGTAGAAAGTTTGTGGTATCTGTTCAGAGGGAGTGAGGGAGGGAGGGAGTTCACCAGCTGGGAGTGGTCAGACCGGATTGATTGAAAAGGGTCATCCGACTTGTCGACCGCATATTCCCCTTCAGATTAACATGGAACCCCCAAACTACTGGGTTGTAGAGGAAAATCGTCTTCCACGGGTCAATTCTCAGGTTCTATATCTTAGTTTGTGGGAGTATCCCACACATTTCCATGATCCCCCGATGTTTTTAGGGAGCGGAGAAGTCGATCAGCGCACCAGAGACCTGGGGTTGAGACCCCAGGTGTTTTGGTTGAAGAAGACGTGGGGCCCGTCAGCCCGGACAAATTCCAGCCCTTAAACGGGCGCTGGAGGAAGAATATCCAAGACCTCAAGACCTGTGTAGTGTGACATCCATCCCCTCCGCAAAAGACTTATATACCAGCTTCTTCAAAGTGACCTTTTGTTTTTTCCTAAGTGACCCTTAGGAGGCTTAAGTGACCTCAAACCAGGTTATCAAAAGGTCACTTTGAAGAACCAGGTCACTCTTAAGTCTATAGGATCTGAAAAAGGGCTCCAACATAATCCTTTTCGGTCAGGTGCTTCATTCTGAGGTGGGATGGGCCGGTTTTCGTGAGCCGGCTCACTCCTGACAGGCTGCGAGACAGAGACATCCTTTTGGCGAAAACGAGACATGACTTGGCGCAAAGGGGGTGGGAACGCAAGCTGTGCATCACGAGGAGACTCGTAGATTCCTGGTACAGTGGCACTTCTTCCAGGACTAGTCGATCGAACTTCGTGCGTCGGTCGAAACAAAACAACCGCTCTGTCTGACTCGTGTTTATCACGCTCAGTCTCGACCCACCAAGTGAAGCACAGGGTGCAGCTCCCTTTACCCACCAATTCCCACCAGCTGAGTGACTCTAAATCTCTGCTTTCCTGTATGCACCAGGTCGCTGTGGAATGCCAAACGTTCCATTTCCATACGGATTGTACAGTCATTCCACCAAGTTGTCTCCACGATGCCGAACATAAGCTCGGTAGGGATCCACTGCCACCCTCCTCTCCGCGACTCATGTGTTCGACACAGCAGCTGTACTGGTCGCACTATGTCGCAGTCGTTTCCCCCAATGGAGTGGACAGCGCCAGTGGATCCCCCTCAGCAGGGGGGGGTACCACGGTGCCACATCCGGTGAGATCTTCACGTTCGTTCGTTGGGGTTGCCCGAGGTGGGGCACCTATTTGTGGCACACCTTGACCGAGGAAAAGCCTGGGGTGGTCCATGGGGCGGCATATACTCCATGGATGGTCTGGGTGAGGAAAATCGCGCTGGACCAAACTTTCCAATTGTTTAAGGTACGTAGGACAAGGGGCCGCGACTTAATGTTGTTTTTTTTCGTGTTCCGTGGCAGGTGCAGGACTTTGCGGATGTGGAAGTGCAGAGTTGGTGGCAGGTGCAGGACTTTGTGGGCCTTGGAGTGCAGATTTCGTGGCAGGCGCAGGACTTTTTGTGGACTTTGAAGTGCAGATTTCGTGGCAGTGTAGTACTTTGTGGCCCTTGGAGTGCAGATTTCGTGGTAGGCGCAGGTGCAGGACTTTGTGGGCCTTGGAGTGCAGATTTCATGGCAGGCGCAGGACTTTTTGTGGACCTTGAAGTGCAGATTTCGTGGCAGGTGTAGTACTTTGTGGCCCTTGGAGTGCAGATTTCGTGGCAGGCGCAGGACTTTGTGGACCTTGAAGTGCAGATTTTGTGGCAGATGCAGGACTTTGTGGATGTGGAAGTGTAGAGCTGGTGGCAGGTGCAGGACTTTGTGGGCCTTGGAGTGCAGATTTCGTGGCAGGCGCGAGACTTTGTGGACCTTGAAGTGCAGATTTCGCGGCAGGTGTAGTACTTTGTGGATGTTGAACTGCAGATAGCCAGATAGA